TTCAGAAGTGAATACAGTTTATAGGTATTCTAGACCCCACACTCTCCCTTGTGAGCCCTCTCACCCCATCTCTTGGCTAAAAAAAGAATTGAAATTAACTACCTTGACTTTAAACCTGTGGTTCTTTGGGGGAAAACAAACCAGTCTCACATGTGGTAGAGTGGGAGTTAATAAATGCCGCAAAATATGTTGGCGTAAATAGAAGGTTTCAACTGATAGCTCAGCAACAGAGTGAGAACAGCATGGCAAGCAAATAACAGCAAGCAAGGAAGAAACACTGCTTGGGAAATATACAAAGAACACAAAATTTAAAAAGCAAACCTTATCCTAAGGAACAGAAAGAAATTATCCAGATGTGCCCAAGTTATAAAACAGTTCACTATGATGTGGATTAAATAAGATTGAAAACAAAAGCATAGCACGAGCTGAATATGTAGGAAACAAATTGAGGGCAAAACTGGTAGTAGTAACAAGAAAAGCAGACTAGATGTAGCAGAAAAAAAATCTAACTGCCTCGAAAGTTAAGACTTAAGATAATTACAAGGAATGCAGGTGACAACAAAAAAGAAAGGGCACCTGGGTGGCTCAGCCAGTTAGGCATCTGATTTTGGCTCAGGTCATGAGCTCACGGTTTTAAGATTGCACCCCACATTGGGCGTCATGCTGGGTGTGGAGCCTGCTTAAGATTCTTTCCCTCTTCCTCTGCCCCACCTCCCTCCCTCCCTTAAAAAATTTTTTTAATTTTTTTAAATTTTAAGTTCCAGTTTAACATACAGTGTTATATTAGTTTCAGGTGTACAATATAGTGATTCAACACTCCATACATCACCTGGTGCTCATCACAAGTGTACTTCTTAATCCCCATCACCTTAAAATTTCCCCTACCTTAAGAAATTATGACTTAATAATAGATTGAAGGAGTTTGATCTTACTAAGTTTCAGGAAATCTTGATCTTAGACTTCCAGAATTGTGAGGAATAAATTTCTGTTGTTCCTGAGCTACCCAATCTATGGCATTTTTGTTAGAGCAGGCCAAACAGACTATGACATTAGTAATTGTTAAGATTTATAAAGGGATTGGGCGCATGGGTGGCTCAGTCGTTAAGCGTCTGCCCTCGGCTCAGGTCATGATCCCAGGGTCCTGGGATCGAGTCCCATTTCAGGCTCCCTGCTCGGCGGCAAGTCTGCTTCTCCCTCTCCCACTTCCCCTGATTGTGTTCCTGCTCTCGCTATCTCTCTCTCTCTGTCAAATAAATAAATAAAATCTTTAAAAAAAAAAAAAAGATTTATAAAGGGAAAAAAAACAGAATTGTCATTCTGTAGTATATAGGAAAAATCCAAGAGACTCTATAAAGTTTTAAGTATTCCTAAAAATCTGGCGTAAGAGATATTTTTAAAGTCCCAGAATAGTATCAAATATAAATTACTTTGGATTACATCTGATAGCAATGAGTAGACGTTATTAGACAATTAAGAAATTGAAGAATAAAGGAAATCTAAATGTGTAATACCATATTCATCATTGGAAAGACAGTATTCTAAAGATGACTACAAATACATATAAATTCAATGCAATTTGAGTCAAAAATCTCAACAAAGTTTTAATAGGCTTTGACAAAATTAGTTTTAAAATTCATATGGCAGGCTTAATGAAGGGATCAAAAATAGATAATTTTGAATAAAAGGAATAAAGAAGGGAGCCTCACTTCCCTCTTACCCTGGTTTCTCATAGTAATTAACTCAGACTTTTATTGACACGGGCAGTAGAGCAGTGAGAAGGGGATCTGAGGCAAGGATTAAGATGCTGACACTTCATTTAGGGACTGTGCAAGCCCAGCTAGATAAGGGGGAGGCAAAAAAATCAGGCGAGAAAGCTATGAAGCAGGGTGATACATGATGGATTACCTTGGGAGGTGGGTCTTCTGCCGAATCCAGACAAATACCTCGGAGAGGTCATGAAAGGAAGAACCAGGCTGGCGGTTTTTCCCTGTTGCTTTCATTCTCTCTCTGCCACTAGTCAAGGTGCACTCCATGAGGTGACTTCTACCTATTTCCAGATTGCACATCCCTCCTTCAGCCCCTGCTCAAGAAGCCAGACCCCCCATCCCACCATGTGGCATTCCATCCGCGTCTGGAAATAGAGGAGCAGCAAAGGCAGAGTTAGGGCTCAGAGGGAGGGCCAGGCAGGTCCACAAGTTCAGCTGAGATTTTGGCCAGCTCAGGGCACCATCCGTGATGACAGCAGTACAGGTCAAAAGACAGGCAGCATCTTCAGGAAAAGAATTATAAGGGAATCTGAGAGGGTGTCCAGGGTCGTTTCCAGTGCAGGTAAGAAAGCAGAAAACAGAACGTGGGTCTTTACAAAAGGATGGCACTATTATAAATAAATAAATAATGCTAGGCCAGCTACTAGCCATTAGGAAAAATAAAGTAAAAATGAATCACAGGGCACCTGCCTGGCTCAGTCAGAGAGCATGGGACTCTTGATCTCGGAGTTGTAAATTCGAGCCCCCATTGCGTGTAGAGATTACTTAAAAATAAAATCTTCTAAAAAAAATGAAACCCTACATTGTATCATATAACAAATTCCAGCTGAATTAAAGACGTGTTAAGTGTGGCAAACAAAACTGGAATAAAAATGCAGGAATGACTTTTTTGACCTCTGTGTGAACAATTTTTTTTTTTTTAAGATTTTATTTCTTTATTTGAGACAGAGAGAGTGCACACAAGGATGGGGGTAGGGACAGGGAGCATGAGAAGCAGACTCCCAGCGAAGCAGGGTGCCCCACGCAGGGCTCCTTCCCAGAACCCAGAGATCATGTCCTGAGCCGAAGGCAGACACTTAGCGACTAAGCCACCCAGGCGCCCCAGGAGAACAATTTCTAAAACAAGACCCAAGCAGCACAGACCATAAAGAGCAAAAATCAGTACAATCTATAGGGAAAGTATAAACAACCAAATAGAAAGCCTAATTTTGTGAGTTAGGCATTTCTCACACACACACACACACACACCCAATAAACCTAAAAAGCTGCTTTTTAAAAAAAACTATACCTATTAGAGGTGCAAATTAAAAGATACTGTTTCACACCCATTAGCAAGAATGTTAAAGTCTGTTGACAGAGATGCAAGCAATAGGAACTTATGTATAGAAACTCAAAATTCATGTTTTTAAATGCTCTTTAGATGATCCCATCTGGCAAGGCGGAGAAATGTCCCTAAAATTCTACTCTCCTACCAGTCTCAGCTCTCCTCTACCGGGTCCTACTCTAAGTTTCATCCTTAGTGTTTGACTTCTGTTGCCATGTCATTTTCTCTACCATCACCCTCACTCTTAGGCTGTTTCTTACTCTTGGTCCCAGTTCCTACCTCTTGTTCTTTTGGTTTTCTGTTCCTAATCTGCCATGGATCTGGAAACTATAAGTAGCTTATTAGAATTTTGCACATAACAATAGGGCCAGAAGAAGACCTAAGAGACTTCTGGCAGATTGGTGGGGAGGTACGTATATTTTTATCATAATCTGTTTTATTACTTCAGAGGCCTTTTTTAATTTTCTCTGATTCTGGGCTCTTTCTATTAGGCAAAGTTGCTGGGTAGGTGAGGTGTAATGAACTTGAATTTAGTCCATTTGTTTAATTTGCCATTGTTTATATATAAATTCTGTCCTTCAGGGCCTCCAATGGTATATGTTAATTTGACTAATATATAAAATAGTTGGAATAAGGAAATTGAAGGTTAGCCTATGAATTGGTAGGAAGGTGTCTGTTTACCAAAAATTTGAATAACTGATTTCTAACTTTTATTAACCTTTTTAAAAATGCAAATAAGATTATTTGTTGGGGAAAAAAAAGTTTTGTTTTTAAGTAGGCTCCATGCCCAACGTGGAGCCCAGCACAGGGCTTGAACGCACAACCCTGAAATCAGAACCTGAGCTGAGATCAAGTTGGATGCTTAACCGACTGAACCACCCAAGTGCCCCCAAAAAACAGCTTTTGAGATAGAATTTCTATTGATATATTCCTAATGAATGCAATGCATTCATGTCGAGTATACGGCTCCCTGGCTTTTAGTATAGTCAGATAATGTACATCCATCACCACAATATTAGAATATTTTCATTACCCACAGAAGGAACCCCTGTACCTCTTAGCTTTTTTTTTTTTTAAAGATTTTATTTATTTATTTGAGAGAGAGAATGAGACAGAGAGTTAGGCATGAGAGGGGGGAGGATCAGAGGGAGAAGCAGACTCCCTGCTGAGCAGGGAGTCCGATGCGGGACTCGATCCCGGGACTCCAGGATCATGACCTGAGCCGAAGGCTGTTGCTTAACCAACTGAGCCACCCAGGCGCCCTGTACCTCTTAGCTTTTATCCCCCAGTCCTCTCAGCCCTAGGCAACCACTAAGCTTTCTGTTTCTGTATATTTGTCTCTCTGGACACTTCACGTAAATGGAGTCATAATATATATGGCCATTTGTGACGGTCTTCTTGCACTTAACAGTGTGTTCAGAGTTGTGGCATGTATCAGTACTTTTTATTGCTGAATAATACTCCGTTGAACGAGTAACACCACATTTTATTTATCCCCTCATCACTTAATTGGACATTTGGGTAGTTTGCACTTTTTAGCTATTATGAATAAAGCTGCCATGAACATGTGTAAACTTGAGTTTTCATTTCTCTTAAACATATATCTAGGAACAGAATTGCTGGATCACATGGTAATTCTATGTTTAATGTTTTGAGGAACTGCCAGACTGTTTTCCACGGCAGCTGTACCACTTTACATTCCCACCAACAGTGTGTGAGAGTTCCAATTTCTTCACATCCTCAGAAACATTTGTTACCTTTTAAATTTAGCTGTCCTAGTAGATGTAAATTGGTATCTCTTGTCGTTTTAGTTTTATGATTTCCTAAGGTTCATTTCATCTTTTTTTCCCCAATATTTTCTTTTAATATGCAAGAAATGATGCTTTTAATTTCATTTCTTTTTTTAACAGGCTAAGGAAATTTTAACAAAAGAATCAAATGTGCAAGAAGTTCGTTGTCCTGTTACCGTGTGTGGAGATGTGCATGGTCAATTCCATGATCTTATGGAACTCTTTAGAATTGGTGGAAAATCACCAGATACAAACTATCTATTCATGGGCGACTATGTAGACAGAGGCTATTACTCAGTGGAGACTGTGACTCTTCTTGTGGCATTAAAGGTATGATGAATGAAATTCAGTTTTTTTTTTTTTCCAACCTTTAAACCTGCAAAAGGGGAAGATGGCAATATTGCATATCTTCTGTTATATTTTATCCATTCCGTTTATAGCCCCTTAAAATATAATAGTTGGTTTTACATCTTGTAAAAGAGAGAGAAATGAAAATTAAACATTTAGTGTGTCCTGCCTACTTCTGGTAAATCACTCCCTTAGGTAGTCCACAGCTGAAGTCTTGGAACCATTTTTTACTTAAGCAGGTATCCCTCATAAACAGTCAATTTAATTCTTGCCTTCAGAAGTCTGTTATTCCTGTGTCTTTTTTTCTATCACACAATTCATATCTTTTATCACTTCACATGTATTACATTTATGTGGACCTGGCACCTAGCTTTAAACAGTGAGCTTAATTTGGGGCACATAATGGATAGTTAATAAATGTGTATAAATTGAAGTATGCATTTGCAGCTTTTAGGTTAATTTGGTTAACAGAATCTGCTGCTTTTTCATACTTCCTATCAGACACATCCCTAACTAAATAGTATGCTGTAAGGTATGTCTCTGTGTTTTGTTATGAAAAGGAAACTCTAAATACATTTGAAATCTTGCCCAGATTTGGCAAGGGCCTGTTTTTGTTAGCAAATACAGTCTTTCTGTGGGAAATAAAAGTTGAAGGGGGAGAGAGAAGTTAGTATAAAAAGGAGTTTGTCTCTGGTCCAAATCTTTGACCATCAGTATCCATTCAGCAGTAAGACATAGTGTTCTGGAAAGACCTAGAAGACTGGTGATTGAGGATGAAGAGGATATTAAAGACCAAGAATCAGATACAATTTTATTATAATAACATAGATATCAGTTAGTAAGGGTTCCAATAAGGGTGGTATAAATAGTAATGAAGACGAAGGAATATAAATATTTCAAAGGTCAGTCAGCAGTGAATGAGAAAATTTTTAATTCTGAATAAGAATTAGCATTTAATGCAACAGCACACAAAAGAACCATTTAAAGAAATGGGTCAGAAGTTAATGTGCTTAACATAACACTAGTAAAAATATGCTTTGTACCATGAATTTCTTTTGCTTTTCCTGCAGGTGCGTTATCCAGAACGCATTACAATATTGAGAGGAAATCACGAAAGCCGACAAATTACCCAAGTATATGGCTTTTATGATGAATGTCTACGAAAGTATGGAAATGCCAATGTTTGGAAATATTTTACAGATCTATTTGATTATCTTCCACTTACAGCTTTAGTAGATGGACAGGTGTGTATGTGCTTCTATGGTGGGTGGGGGAGGAATAAAAGTAAGAAAAGATTTTCTATTAGCAAGTTAGGGTTTAGATTTACATGACATGATTTCCAAATCTCCTTGGCCTTTTCTGCCTCTTTTCCTTATAATTAAAATTTCAGAGTAGAGAATTAGGTTAAGTTTTATGCACATTGTGACCAGCAGATTTCCCTGTTGTTCTCAGATATGTGTGTAAATATTTTTGCCAAAGAATTTGCCAATACGCTTTTTCTGTTATAGACAAATATCATAAATAAATGCTAAGACCCTGAAGTACAATACTAGTAAAGCAAAGCTGTTTTTTTAAAACTAGCTCCATTACATATACACAGTGTTTGCTGGTTGCCATTAATAACTTTTTTATTCCTATTTTCATGGTAGTTACAAGCAGCAATATTGTGTATTACATCTTCATTAAGAAGTGCATGCTTTATTTCCACCTGTAATGAGTATTATAGACACACTGTAAAACATTCAAAATATAAAAATGTGCAAGTTTCTATTATCCTAGTTTCTAAGAGATAATCACTGTGAACATGAACTGATTTAACTTTAAATATGAAACATACAGTACCAAAAAATAAATAATATGTGGTACAAGTCTACAGTTCCTAAACTGTATAAAAGCCTAGAATTGTCATGGGCATAATAGATCCACTCATAATTTGGTTATAGCCTTTTCTTTGTGGTCCTGACAGTCCACATTTTTCCCAGCCGTGATATTGGACACTGCAGTAATTAATTTCAAAGGACAATATTTTGCCTAGACTTGGCTAAAATGAAAGAAAACAATGTGGACTTCAAGAGTTCACAAATTATTTCTAAATGACAATGGAAGTATGATGTAAACCAAAATTTTTGGGTGTAAACAGGGATAAAACACAAGGAAATTCATAGTCTCCCATTCATTTTGTAGAAAAATTAAAGGAAATGTGAAATAAACATTTAACTCAAAGAAACCATAGTAAAATAAGCTTAAAGGATTAAAGATAAAAGCAGACATGGAGGGGTGCCTGGGTGGCTCAGTCGTTTAAGCATCCAGTTCTTGATTTTGGCTCAGGTCATGATCTCAGGGTCCTGGGATCAAGTCCCTGAGTTAGGCTCCCAGCTCAGCGGGGAATCTGCTTTAGGATTCTCTCTTTCCCTCTGCACCTCCCCCGCCCCCCAAATAAATAAATCTTTAAAAAAAAAAAACACAAATGGATACCAGAAAATCACTAGGAATGAGAAATACGGCATGACTATCAATATGGATGTGCTTGTGTATCACAATAACCTAGGGTACAGCTTTATTCTGGTGCACTTGAAAAGATGAAATTTACTACAGCAAAATAGTTTTTGAAGAAATTAGGCCAATGTAAATAGACTACCAAACTTAGAAGAAATTGGAAAAGTAACCAGGTCTGGATAGTTTTCTAGGCAAATTCTACCAAACCTTTAAGGAACATACATATAATTTCTGTGTTCTAGAGCTTAGGAAAAGATGAAGAGCTTCAAAATTTATTCTGTGAAGTTAGTATAACCTCAATACCAAACCAGACATGGCAAGCACCAAAAAATAAAACTCAGTTTTTAAGTAGTAAAATAAAATAACATTAATTGAATAAAGAAACTTATACTGGCTATACTTAATCAGCAAAATATCAGAAATTTCTTCAAAATTGGGAGAAAAATGCCCTCTAAAACTTGTATTACTATTCTCTCTGATACAAAATCCCTAAGGATGGGTGTGGGAATAGAGATTTTACCAAAAACAAACTGAAAAATTTTATTTTCAAGGATTTTTTGGAAATCCTAGCCAGTGCACTGAGTATTAAAAAGAATCAAAGGGTATAAACATGGAGAAGAAATTAAATATTTTTGCTAACAACATGATTCTGTACTCAGAGAACTCTTACGAAAGCTGAAAAACTATTGGAGCCAATAATAGGAATTGGTACTGTCCTTGCTGTAAGAGAAACAAAAAAATTGTATATGTTAGCAGAAAATGTAATGGTGAGTCACAAGAATGGAGGTCCCATTTGCTAGAGAAGGGGAAAAAATACTATACAAAATACTTAGGATTGATTATAAGGAAAAAAGAAATATTTTAAAGTATCAGTAGCTCTCTAATTGATTTTTGTTTCCTTTTCCATTGTATTTTATAAATTTTCCACAGTGAATATTATTAAATTTTATTTTGAAAAGAAGAGCTATTAGGATTTACATTTTGTAACCATTATTTATTTACTCTCCATTAACTTTCAGCATTTAATAAAGCTTTTTCTTCTTTTTTTTTTTTTTTAATTCACAAACAGATATTCTGCCTCCACGGTGGCCTCTCTCCATCCATAGATACACTGGATCATATAAGAGCTTTGGATCGTTTACAAGAAGTTCCACACGAGGTAAACTTGGTTTTAATTTTAAAAACAAAGAAATATAACCACATTGTGGTAAAGCTAAATGAAATAACATGTACTTAATTTTCTTGGCCAGGGCCCAATGTGTGATCTGTTGTGGTCAGATCCAGATGATCGTGGTGGGTGGGGTATCTCACCACGTGGTGCTGGCTACACATTTGGACAGGACATTTCTGAAACATTTAACCATGCCAATGGTCTCACACTGGTTTCTCGAGCTCACCAACTTGTAATGGAGGTACGTCTTTTTCCCACAGGATGATGTTTTGTTTTGGTTTTTTTTTAAATGGAAGAAGTGTTTTCTTTATTGATGATCTTAATTTCTAATAAATATATATCTCTGTAATAAGGCTTCATGAAACATTTCCTCCCTATTACCTAAATGAAAGGAGAAAAAATTGAGCTGGTTTTAGCAAATAGGGGAAAGTACTAGTTGGCCAGAGCAAAATTATAACTCACTTTGGAAATTAATTTAGACATAGAGGAAAGTTTCAAAAATATTATCAAAAAATTCTCTTGTATCCTACACTGATGCCTCAAATATATTTTCGTATTTTAGTATTCTATCTCTATCTTCCAGCTTCCCTTCTTCCATACACATTTCTTTTAAAATATTTGAATGTCAGTTGCAGACATGGTGCTCCTTTACCTCCAAATTTCCATGTATATTTTGCAAAAATAAAGATGTTCTCTTATGTTACTACAGTATAATTATCACAGTCCAGAATTTGCATTGATACAGTACTATGATCTAAACCCTTCATTTGAATTTTTTAGTAACTCACTAATGTTCTTGATAGGAAAATTCAGTCGTGTATGTCCATGTATAATCTCATCCAGGATCATGCTGTATTCAGTCTCCTTTGGTGTGGAAATAATTCCTCGGATTTTGTTTTGCATAATCTCTACATTTTTAAAGGCTACATTTTGTAGAAGTATCCTTCACCTGTGGTTTGATTGATGTTGCCTTATGACTCGGGGTATGCATATTTGGCAGGCATGCCACAGCATGATGGGACGTGCTTTCAGTGCGTCATGTTAGGGTCATGGAATCTCTGCTTGAATCACTTAGTTAAGCTGCTGGCTGCCAGATTTCTCTACCATGATGTTACTATTTTATAAATACTAAAGGAGTATAAATAGAATTTTATTCTTTTAAATCAGGGAGTGGCTTCAAGATGTTAGAGAAAACTTCAACCCAATTGAGGCAGGAGGAGTGAGAACATGGTTAACAAGGAATATAAATTCATATGGTAAAGATAACCTAATTATATCAGTAATCATAACAAATGTGAATGGATGAAAATTTTTACGTCCCTAAAATCCTGAGACTCGGAATTAGACAATCAAAATTCAGCTGCTACTTGAGAGGAATCTAAGACATAATGAAAAAAATAAAAATTAAAAATAAAACATAATAATGACACTACAGACTAGAAGTAGAGGGAAAATGGTATGTTGATATATCAATTAGAGAATTACCCAAAATACAGCTAATAATGTGCATCATAATAGCCTTTGAGTTAAAAAGTATATATAGAAATAAAAGGTCATTATTGATGAAAACTGGCCCAGTTCTGTAGGGAAGAAATAATTGAGCTTGTGTTTACCTAGTAATAGATTCAAAATATATAAAGCAATAACTGATAGAAGGAAAAACTAAGAAATCTTCCATCGTTGTGGAAGAAATTTTAATACATATCTGAGCCAAGAGCCAAAGCGTAGATGTAAATAGAACGATGCTGTTCTTGAGCTCCGTGGCACAGTACCCTGGGCCCAGCAGTGGGGTATTCCGTGCAGGTGCCCAGAGTTAAGGATGGATACCATATAAGGGAGCAGAGAAAACGACATTTCCACCAAGAATATCTGTAATTTTTGAATGTAGTTTTCTAAACGGACCCATGTCAAGATTATAATTTTATAGTGAAGTGTTATTTTTTGGGTTTTTTTTAATGCTGCAGGGATACAATTGGTGTCATGATCGGAATGTGGTTACCATTTTCAGTGCACCCAATTACTGTTACCGTTGTGGGAACCAGGCTGCTATCATGGAATTAGATGACACTTTAAAATACTCCTTGTAAGTAAATGAAAATTTTTTAAATTGTATATAATTGCTTTTAGAAAGAAAATTTTAAATGTAGTTTATTAAAATTAGAGGATTTCTGCTTCTGGAATACTAGAATGAGGAACGTGGCAAACCCTCTTCCCAACAGAAACAGTCATTTAACTGGAAGGTTATTTTAAACAGTTATTGTAGGTTTTTGAATATTGTCCAAAATGCATACAGCCCATGGAGAAACATTCTAGAAAATGTACTAAATTTCAGTAATAGCCAGAATCTGTGGAATTTGAGCCATAACCTCTTCCCTCCCCGTCTTTCCACATCCCTTGTTCAGAAACTACTCCACAGTCATTCTACCTTGGGCCCTGCTCAGATATTTTCCTGGGTTTAATGGCTAAGCCTTTGTTAACCAAACAACAGAGTTATTTAGAGGTTCCCTCTGGGTGGGCACAAGCCACTTATTGTTCAGAGGTTGTGCTCAGGCCTCCTTGGTCATTGAAATTTTAGGGTTCACCCTAATCCAGTAAGATCACTGGGAATGTCTGTGGCTAAGAAGTTGCTATCAGAGTTGGAAGAATTTATATTTTGGCTCACAGTTCAACCAAGCACACTAGTACCTTGGATTTTCCTTGTTTGATTAGTCCTGAGAGAGTGCAACCTTAAGGATGCACATAGTGTCATTTCCCAGACTGTCAGAGATGTATGTGATTGGGGTTTTAAGCCTGGCTTCCTAGGAGTTGCTCCTGGGTCAAAGAGTAACTTGATCAGCCAGTATTTGATTAGAGATTGTGTTTAAAGCTCTGGTATCATTGAGGGTTATATACCCTTTATTGATTAATCTGTGTATTAGTTTCCTAGGGCTGCTGTAACAGATTACCACAAAGTGGGTGCCTTAACGGAATTTATTCTCACGTTTGTGGAGGCTAGAAATTTGAAATCAGGGTGTTGGCAGGATGATGTTGTAAAAGCTCTAGAGGAGGATCCTTTCTTGCCTCTCCCTAGCTTCTGGTGGCTCCTACAATCCTTGATTTATAGATGCATCACCCCAGTCTCTGTCTTCACATGGCACTCTCCCCTGTGTGTCTGTTTCTTTAATAAAGATACCATCAGGGCGCCTGGGTGGCTCAGTTGGTTAAGCGACTGCCTTCGGCTCAGGTCATGATCCCGGAGTCCCTGGATCGAGTCCCACATCGGGCTCCCTGCTCGGCAGGGAGTCTGCTTCTCCCTCTGACCCTCCCCCCTCTCATGTGCTCTCTCTCATTCTCTCTCACACAAATAAATAAATAAAAATCTTTAAAAAAAAAAAGATACCATCAGATTGATGGGCCACCTGGGTGGCTCAGTTGGTTGAGCATCTGACTCTTGATTTTGGCTCAGATCATGATGTCAGGGTCGTAAGGTAGAGCCGCCATGTTGGGCTCCATGCTGAGCCTGGAGCCTGCTTGAGATTCTCTCTCTTATTCTCCCTCTGCCCCTCCCTGCTCATCGTCTCTCTCTCTCAGAAAAAAAAAAAGGAAAGAAAGAAAGAAAAGAATACCACCAGATTGAATTTAGGGCTCAGCCTAATCCAGTATGACCTCACCTTAACTAATAACATCTGCAAAGACCAAATAGTGTCACATTCTGAGGTTCTGAACGGACATGAATTTTGGAGGTAAACTCTTTGACCCAGCATAGTCTGTGTGTGGCTTGGGAGTGTTTTTAAGAATGCCCCAACTGCTACTCTAATTGTTCCTGTGTGGGTATAGCTATGTGCACAGTCGTCTTGTCTCCCCATGTTGACTGATCCCAGGAAGGCTTTTCTTGGCTCTTCTTTTGTCTGTTACATTTCTTAAAAATTCAGCTGTACTACAAATACATCCATGTTGTTTTTAAATCCGTTAAGAAGATGCAGTTATACTCTCATTTACGATGACTGTCGTGTATGTGTGTTTAACTAATAACTTGAATCCAAAAGAAGAATATGAAGAAAATAAAAATGAGCAGGTTAATGTAACAAAATCTGTACACACTTGCTCTCCTTTCTCAGCTTTAAGGGCATGACATCGTATGAAATAGTAATTATAACAATGTATTTTGGGGATTTTAACATAACATCAGTAGCAAAAGAAGGAAATGGAAAGGCGCTTACTATATAGGAATTAATTTCTCTTAATTGACTAGAATTTATAAATCTGCAGAATTCTGTAAGTTGTGTATTGTAAGTTTTCAAGCAATCAATAATAAAATAATTTAGGAAAAATAACAAGTTATTAAAGGAATTAAAAGGCACACTAGAAAATATGCTTTTAATAAAAAAACAGTTAAAGTGGGAACCAAGAAACAAAACAAGTAAATGGCAGGTATAAAGCCAGTCATATCAATATTAAATGTGAGTGGTTTAAGTAATGCAATCAGAAGGCAAAAATTGTCAGATTTTTTGTTTTTAAAGATCCAGCTTTATGATATCTACAGAAAGCATAATTTAGATTAAAAACAAAAGGGTTGAAAGTAAATTAGGTGAAAAAGATAACCATGCTAACAGCAACCACATGACTTGAACTGGTTATACTAATAGACAAAATAGATTTCAAAATAAAAATTGTTTATTAGACATAAAGACATTTCACAATGATGAAAGAGTCAAAGCATTAGGAGAATATACCAGTTATAAACATAACACAACTGTGGAGCAAAAATGAACAGAATTGAAGGGAGAAATAGACAGTTGAACAGTAGTTGGAGACTTTATTATGCTACTTTTAATAATAGAACTGGGCAGAATATCACCAATGACATAGAAGACTTGAGAAGTACTGTAACTTAACATTTATGGAACATTCCACCCAATAGTAGCAGAGTAGTTTTGTCAAATGCACATGGGACATTCTCTAAGATTGACTATATGCTGGGCTATAAACCCAAGCCTCAGTAAACTTAAAACTATTGAGGGGTGTCTGGGTGGCTCAGTCAGTTAAGTGTCCAACTCTTGATTTCAGCTCAGATCATGATCCTCAGGGTCATGAGATCAAGCCCCATGTCAGGCTCTGCACTGGGCATGGAGCCTGCTTAAGATTCTCTCTCTCCTTCTGCTCCTCCTTTAAAAAAAAGAATATTGAAGTCATACAAAATATGTTCTCCAAACACAATGGAATGAAATTAGAAATCAAAATAGAAGGAAAACTGGAAAATGTGTAAATATGTGGAAATTAACATACTCCTAAATGACCTGAATCAAAGAATAAATCATAAGGGAAATTAGAAAATACTTTGAGATGAATAAAAATAAAAACAGAATGTGCCCAAACTTATGTGATACAATGAAAGCAGTGTTTGCAGGGAAATATATAACTGTAAGTGCCTGTATTAAAAATCAGATTTTTGGGCGCCTGGGTGGCTCAGTCGTTAAGCGTCTGCCTTCGGCTCAGGTCATGATCCCAGGGTCCTGGGATCGAGTCCCACATCAGGCTCCTGCTTGGCAGGAGGCCTGCTTCTCCCTCTCCCACTCCCCCTGCTTGTGTTCCTGCTCTCGCTATGTCTCTCTCTCTGTTAAATAAATAAATAAAAAATCTTTAAAAAAAAAAATCAGATTTTTGGGGCGCCTGGGTGGCTCAGTTGGTTAAGAGACTGCCTTCGGCTCAGGTCATGATCCTGGAGTCCCTGGATCGAGTCCTGCATCAGGCTCCCTGCTCGGCGGGGAGTCTGCTTCTCCTTCTGACCCTCCCGACCCTCCCCCCTCTCATGTGCTCTCTCTCTCAGTCTCTCTCTCTCAAATAAATAAATAAAATCCTTTAAAAAAAAAAAATCAGATTTTTAGAAAGATCTCAAGTCAGTAACCTAACATTTTAAGGACCCTAGAAAAAGAAGAGCAACCTAAACCCCAGTGCAAACATACGGAAGGAAATAAAAAGGAAATCAGTGAAATGGAAAAATAATCAAAACCAGAAGTTGGTTCTTTTCAACAAAATTGAAAAGTTTTAACTAGACTGGCCAAACAAAAATGAGTGAAGATTCACATTACCAAAATCACTACAGACCTTACTGAAGTAAAAAGAATTACAAGGGAATATAATGAATAAGTGTACGGCAAGAAACTAGGTAACTTGGATAAAATGGACAAATTCCTAGGAAGACAAACTGCCAAAATTGACTCAGAAAATGTGAATAGACCTGTAACAAGTGAAAAAGTTGAATTAATATTTTAAAACTTCCTACAAAGAAAAGCTCCCAAGCCCAGTGGGCTTCACTGATGAAATGACTAAAAGTTTAAAAAGGAATTAACACCAGTTTTTCACAGAAACTAAGAATAGAATAGGAGGGATCATTTCCCAATGTATTCTTTGAAGTCTATATTACCCTAATACCAAAATCAAAGATAATTTAAGAAAACTACAGACCAATACTCTTTATGCTTATAGTTGCAGAAATCTGCAACAAAATATTAGCAAACTGAATCTAGTAATATACAAACAGGATTATACACAGTGACCAACTGTGATTTATCCCAGGAAGGCAAAGTTGGTTCAAAATATGAAAAATCAAAGCAATAATCCATTGGACAAAAAAAGCACTTGATCATCTCAGTTAAGCCAGGAAAAACATTTGTCAAAATCCAGCACACTTTCATAATAAAAATACTCAGCAAACTAGTCAAGAGAACTTCCTCTTCCTGATAAAGGTCATCTGCAGAAACTCCACAGCTAACACCCATTTTTTTTTTTTTTAAGATTTTATTTATTTATTTAAGGGGCGCCTGGGTGGCTCAGTCGGTTGAGCATCTGCCTTTGGCTCGGGTCATGATCTCAGGGTCCTGGGATCGAGCCCCGCATCGGGCTCCCTCTTCTGTGGGTAGCCTGCTTCTCCCTCTCCCACTCCCCCTGCTTGTGTTCCCTCTTTCGCTGTGTCTCTCTCTGTCAAATAAATAAATTCTTAAAAAAAAAAAAAAAAGTTTATTTAAGAGAGAGCATGAGCAGGAGGGGCAGAGGAAGAGAAACAAGAAGATTCCATGCCAAGTGGGGAGCTCGACATGGGCTCCATCCCAGGACCCTGGGATCATGACCTGAGCCAAAGGCACTTTACCGACTGAGCCACCCAGGTGCCCCTAATGTCATTCTTAATCATGAAAGACTAAATGCTTTCCCCTAAATCTAGAGCAAAACAAACATCCATTCTTACAACTTTCATTCAGCTGATAATTATGTTGCAAATCTTTTATGCCAGGCACCGAACCAGACATTTTGTCTGCTTCAATTTTCACCGTAGCTCTGTGAGATAGTTTTATGGAAGAACGCACCTGCAGTGACTTGCCATGGATTATTCCAGTCCTAAACGTAGTAAAAGTGGGAAATCAATACTGCCCCTTCTACTACTATGTCTTATTTATTCATTTGCTTGCAAATTCAAATCCTTTAACTATTTGCTTTCTTTTTCGCCATTTATAGCCTTCAGTTTGACCCAGCACCTCGTCGTGGAGAGCCTCATGTTACCCGGCGCACCCCAGACTACTTCCTGTAAATTCCTCCTGGGAAAACCCTGCCTTTGTATGTGGAAGTATACCTGGCTTTTTAAAATATATATATTTAAAAACAAAACAAAAAAAGCAACAGTAATGTATGTGTTTCTGTAACAAATTGGGATCTGTCTTGGCATTAAACCATATCATGGACCAAAATGTGCCATATTAATGATGAGCATTTAGCACAATTTGAGACTGAAATTTAGTACAACACTATGTTCTAGATCGCTCAGTCTTAACAGTTTGCCTGCTGTATTTGTAGTAACCATTTTCCTCTGGACTGTTCAAGCAAAAAAGGTAACTAACTCCTTCATCTCCTTTTGCACTTATTTGGAAATTTTAGTTATAGTGTTTAACTGGCATGGATTGATAGAGTTGGGGTTTTATTTTTAAGAAAAATTCACAAGCTAACTTCCACTTAATCCATTACCCTTTATTTTATTGAAATGTATAGTTAAATTAACTGAAGAAAAGATTCTTGGGAGTATGTTGTCATAACATTTAAAAAGGTTTCCCTTCATTTAAACTAAATTACTGTTTTATGTTGATCTGCATATTTCTGTATATTTGTCATGACAGTGCTTGCATCCTATTTGGTGTACTGAGCAAATAAACTTTCCATTTTAAACAAAAATTGATTTACTGAGGTATGCTTTAAATGAAAAGTTCTGCTATTTTGACACTTGATATAAAACCTCTTAAAAAAATAAAATCTCTTGACCTGTGATAAACAGTTGTGTTGAGGTAATTTAAGTGTAATGTTCTTTGTGTAAGGCTTATATTCAGAAGAAAACCTCAGACAGTAGGCTGGTAACGTTTAGACCATAAAACCATTTTTATTTCTAAACATTTTACTAGGTAGTTTGTATTAATGTATTCAAGTATGGAGTGTGTGCTAAAACTGTAGGACATTCTGTAGCTAGGAAGAATCTTTTAAAAGCCAAAATATATTTTATCTTTATCCATTGCTCTAGAAATAAGAATCCCCAAAAGAGAGTTTAGTAGAAATAGTATAGTAATAGCACCATTACTAATATGTAACATAAATTCCAAGTAGAGGAGGGAAATACAGAGTCAGTGTTAAGGGTGAGTGTGGGAGGGTGGAAGACACAAGAGAAAATTAAATTTTTTAAGTCTTTGTAGAAGAAAACAAGATGGTAGAATATCTCAGTAACAATGGACAGAGTTCTCTAGTAAAAGAGGGTCAAATTTGATTTTTTAAATCCAGCTATATCCTGATTACAAGACACATACCAAAAGCAAAGTCAGATATGTTGAAAATAAGATGGAATAGACCAAGAAGATACTAATCAAAGGAAACCTGAAATATCTATATCTATATTAATATTAAAATAGACTTTGAGGGGCGCCTGGGTGGCTCAGTCATTAAGCGTCTCGGCCTTCGGCTCAGGGCATGATCCCGGGGTCCTGGGATCGAGGCCCGCATCGGGCTCCCTGCTCGGCGGGAAGCCTGCTTCTCCCTCTCCCACTCCCCCTGCTTGTGTTCCCTCTCTCGCTGTCTCTCTGTTAAAAAAATAAATAAATCTTAAAAAAAAAAAAGATAAAATGGACTTTGAGACAAAATTTAAGAACAGAAGATGAATACAAATAGTTAACTTACAATTTTAAACTTGTCTGCACATACCAAAATAGCCTATGTTAAAAGCAAAAATCCTGAGAAATCAGGTTGACAAGTTTTCATCTCAATGGCAGAATTCAACTCATTTCTTTATTATTAAGTGAAAGATGTATTTAATAACACATTTTAATAAGATTGATATAATAGAGGGGCACCTGGGTGGCTCAGTGAGATCGAGCCCCATGTCAGGCTCCATGCTCTCTCCCTCTCCCTCTGCTGCTCCCCATTCTCATGCACTCATTCAAAAAAAAAAAAAAAAGATATAATAGACATGGGTAGATCTCTGTGCCCTAACAAGAATACACACACATTCTTGTCCAGTATTTATATGGGACATTTATAAAAATTGGCAATTATTAGGCCCTAAGGCAAGTTTCAAAAATTGATAGGACACCAAATTCTGACTACAATGCAATTTAGAAGACGCCACCAAGAAATTGCTAGAACTGATGCATGAATTCAGTAAAGTTGCAGGATACAAAATCAATGTGCAGAAATCTGTTGCATTTCTATACACCAATAATGAAGCAGCAGAAATCAATACCATTTTCAATTGCACCAAAAACCATACGATACGAATAAACCTAACCAAAGAGGTAAAAGATCTGTACTCTGAAAACTATAGAACACTTTTGAAAAAAATTGAAGAGGACACAAAGAAATGGAAAAATAATACATGTTCATGGATTGGAAGAAAAATACTGTTAAAATGTCTATACTACCCAAAGCAATCTACACATGTAATTTCATGCAATCCCTATCAAAATACCACCAGCATTTTTCACAGAGCTAGAACAAACAATTCTAAAATATGTATGGAACCACAGAAGACCCTGAATAGCCAAAGGAATGTTGAAAAGGAAAACCAAAGCTGGTGGCATCACAATTCTGGACTTTTAAGTTGTATTATAAAGTTGTAGTGATCAAGACAGTATGGTAGTGGCACAAACACACATAGATCAATGAAACAGACTAGAAAACCCAGAAATGGACACACAACTATATGGTCGACTAATCTTTGACAAAGCAGGAAAGAATATCCAATGAGAAAAAGACAGTCTCCAGGAAATGGTGTTGGGAAAACTGGACAACAACATGTAAAAGAATGAAACTAGACCACTTAATACCATATACAAAAATAAATTCAAAATGGATGAAAGACCTAAATGTGAAACCAGAAACCATCAAAATCCTAGAGAACACAGGCAACAACCTCTTTGACATCAGCTGTAGCAACTTACTAGATATATCTCCAGGGGCAAGGGGAGCAAGAGAAACAAAAGTTAAAATTAACTACTGGGACTTCATCAAAATAAAAAGCTTCTGCACAGAGAAGGAAACAACAAAATTAAAAGGCAGCATTTGGAAGCGGAGAAGATATTTGCAAATGATATATCTGATAAAGGGTTGGTATCCAAAATTTATAAAGAACTTACACAATTTGGGGTGCCTGGATGGCTCAGTCGTTAAGCGTCTGCCTTCGGCTCAGGTCATGATCCCAGGCTCCTGGGATCGAGCCCCGCATCAGGCTCCCTGCTCAGCGGGAAGCCTGCTTCTCCCTCTCCCACTCCCCCTGCTTGTGTTCCCTCTCTCGCTGTCTCTCTCTCTGTCAAATAAATAAATAAACATCTTAAAAAAAAAAAAAAAAAAAACTTACACAACTCAACACCCCAAAAAATAATCCAGTTAAGAAATGGGCAGAAGACATGAACAGACATTTTCCCCAAAGATGTACACATGGCCAACAGACACATGAAAAGATGCTCAAAATCAGGGAAATACAAATCAAAACTACAATGAGATATCACCTCACACCAATCAGAATGGCTAATATTAGTAACATAGGAAACAACAGATGTTGGCAAGGATGTGGAGAAAGGGAAACCTTACACTGTTGGTGAGAATGCAAAATGATACAGCCACTCTGGAAAACAGTATGGAGGTAAGTTAAAACTAGAACTACCCTATGATCCAGCAATTGCACTACTAGATTTTTACCCAAAGGATACAAAAATACTGATCCAAAGGGACACATGCACCCCAATGTTTATAGCAGCACTATCAACAATAGCCAAATTATGGAAAGAGCCCAAGTGTCCACTGACTGATGAATGGATAAAGAAGAGGCGGTATATGGGGCCCCTGGATGGCTAAGTTGGTTAAGTATGCAACTCATGATCTCAGCTCAGTTCTTCATCTCAAACCCAGCATGGAGCCTTCCTTAAAAAAAAAAAAAAAAGTATATATAAAATCATATCCATGATGTGGAATATACATATATGGAATATATATTATGGAATATTATTCAGCCATAAAAAAGAATGAAATCTTGCCATTTGCAATGACATGGATGGAGTATATGCTAAGTGAAATAAATCAGAGAAAGACAAATACCACATGATTTCAGTCATGTAATTTAAGAGACAAAACAGATGAACATGGGGAAAAAAGAGATGCAAACCATAAAACATATTCTTAACTCTAGAGAACAAGCCGAGGGTTACTGGGGAGGTGAGTGGTGGGATGTGGTAAATGGGTGATGGGTATTAAGGAGGGCACTCATGGTGATGAGCACTGAGTGCTATATGTAGGTGATGAATCTCTCTACTGAAACTAATATTACACTATATGTTAACTAGAATTTAAATAAAAACTTGAAACTATTAAAAAAAGGCAAAAATTTTCAGAAGTACCTATTCTTTTTGAAATTTAAAGAATTAAGGTCAAAGATAAAGGAACTTTTAAATTCCGTAAAATAGAATTTAGAAAACCGGTTATGAAAAATAAAATTTTAAATGTGTGGACAAAATATCTGCAATAGCCAAAACAATTTGGAAAAACAAGAACAAGTACATTCACTTTCCTATGTCAGAACTTACTATAAAACTATAATTTTCAAGACAGCGTAGTATAGGTATATGCAGATACATAGAACAGTGAACAAAATTAAGAGTCCAGAAATAAATCCTTTCATTTATAGTTAGTTATCTTTTGAAAAAGTGGTAAGGCAATTCATTGACGGAAGGATTGTTCAATAAATGGTGTTAGGACAACTCTATATCCACATGCTACAAAAGGACAAATGTAGATGCATACCTCATACTGTAAACAAAAATTCACTAACAACAGATCAGACGCAAACATAAGAGCTGAAACAAAGTTAAGAAAACACAGAACCCTGGGGTGCCTGGCTGGCTCAAGCAGAAGAGCATGTGACTCTTGATCTCAGGGTCAGGAGTTTGAGCCCCATGTTGGGTGCAGAGATTACTTAAAAATAAAATCTTAAGAAAAAAGAAAACACAGAACCCCTTTGAGACCTTGGGTTAGGCAATGATTTCTTAGGTGTGATATCAAAAGAAAGGTTCATAAAATTTTTAAACTGATAAACTAGACCTAGGAAATAAACATTTGTGCTTAAATAGAACTGAATGAAAAGACAATAGACTGCAAGAAAATATTTTCAAAACACATTATCTAATAAAGGATTTGTATCTAGAATTCCAAAGAACTGATAAACTCATTAATAATAAGACAACCCAATCAGAACATGGGCAGAAAATATGAATAGACATTTCATCAAAGAAGACATACTATACTGATGGCTAATAAGTACATAAATGAAAGATCAACATCATTAGTCATTAAGGAAATGTTAACTAAAAGCACAATTGAGGTATTTCACACCCATTAGAAAGGCTATAACAAATACGCCCTTATTTATGAATAACAAATGTTGCCAAAAAAGCCTGGGAAGATGGCAGAGTAGGAAAATCCTAAGTTCACCTCGTCCCACAGATACACCTAGATAACAGCCACATCAGTGCAACTAACCCAAAAAACAATCCAAAGACTGGCAGAACAGACTCTCCGTAGTTAATCATAGAGAGGAGACCCCCATGGAAAAAAAATGGTAGGAAAGGTGGAGTCCCGGATGGGAATCAAACTAACCAGCAAGGAGGGAAAAAACTAACCAGTGAGATCAACCACAAATGGGAGGGACATCATAAGCACGAAAAAGGGAGAGGAAGGTCCACACCATACACCCCAGACACAAGGCACCTGCACTGGGAAGATGACTTCCCGTAA